AGTAAACCACCACAACCCTCCATTTCACAATCCCAATTCCAGTCTCTCAATTCACTTTCACACTCCACATCCTAATCCAATCCAAAAATCAGAGACACCGAGACCAGACCGGAGCTCTCAACTCTCATAAATTTTAACGAACAATGGAGGAACCATCTTCCCAAAACCCTAACTATCTACTCCCACCACCCCCACCCCAGGATTTTCCACCTCCATCTCCACCACCTACTTTCCCCTATTTCAAGAGACCCACTCTCCGTGTCACCTCCGAGTTCGACAGCGACAGCCTCGTTTTCTTCCACAAGATCTCTTGCAAGCTCTTTGACAACCTCGCCAAATTCAAGCTCTCCTTCCAGAACAACAACAAGCGCGAGATCTCCCAACCCCAGTTGTCTTTCACCTCCAAGCACTTGTCCGTTCATTACGATCTCGAGGAGCAGAATGCCCTTGTTAAGGGCTCCTGTGATGTCGGTCCCAGATTGCAGCTTAAGGCCGTCCATGATGTCAAGGTCATTACACTCCCATCTATTCACCTACCTGCCATTTCTTTCCTTCCTACCCTTTGACTTTCTTTCATTATGGTTCTACATAAGTTTCGTTTTATTTTGAGTAAATGTTTTTCCAAATTGGCACCTTTTACACCCCTTTTCATGGCTTTTTTCAACGAAGAGTAGTACTCTGTGATTCCGATTCACTATGGCTCTGCGTGCGTCTTAGTTATTTGAACTCTGTTTTGGTGAATGTGTACGATGCTTTTAGGAATTAATGTTACGTCTTTAGGATGACTTTTTTCAGTAATCCGTCTTCCTTTTATGTCGAGTTTCTGAATTGGGTCCTGTCGAGAAGATACCTTCATCTCCTAATTAAGTGATAAATCTATAGGCTACTCGCCATAAGTGCATTTCTGTATCTGCATGTGGGTTTCCAGAATTGTCTTTTTCATGAGATGTATAGGGTTGACAGAGGATTTTTCTATTTGGGTATTTCCTGAAGCAAAAGAACTCAAAGTGGTTGTTTTGTATCTGCCTGCATATCTTCTCAAATGATGGGTATTGTTTAATAAAGGTTTTTGGATGGAGCCTAACCTGCATGCATGTGTTGGATATCCAAACCTTGTGATTCATGCCCATTATGACCAAGTAAGGACTAGGCTATGTTTGGGAAAATATCAATTACTGTGGAACTCATTTGGAGATCTACAGCTATTTTAAGCTCTCTTTTGATATTATTTAAAAAATTTATAAGAAAAGGAGCCTGTAGATAATTCCAAGGGGAATTAGAAGAATGTAGTTTAAATTCTTCAATGAAATCTGGATTGTCTTATTTTAATTCTCAAATTTTCATTAGTCCTAATTTAACTTTGTAAATCTTTAAATAAATCCCACAAAATTTATATATACATATATATATATATTCCAGTTGTAGCCTTAAATGATCAAAAAAGGATAGTTGTCTGGCTCAAAGACAAAGATAATTTGGTTACATTTTATGTTTGTATGAAAGTAAAAGTTTTCAACTTTTTACATTTCAGGAAAAGAAAAGTTCATGCGCATGTGAGAGGCCAACTGCATTTTATGAACTCGCTATTATTTGTTTATTTCTGTACTGCAGAATTTTCTTTTTGAGTTGTATCGAAACAAATTTAGTTAGGATGTTTGATAATTCATGCTTCATGATGTCCTGAAGTTGAGATTTCACTAGCAAATTCTTCACTCTCTTAATTAATTGCTAGGATGCATGATAATTGTTCTGACTGCTGATCATCACAAAAACTTAAACTGATAGTAAAGTCATCATTCCGATGTTCTTTCACACTGTTAATTTTTTCTTCTGAATTTTCTGTGTGCATCTGATATTTTCCTTGCTATATTTTCACTGCTTGTATATCTACTTGTCTTTCTGGATTGCTTGAGTTTCAACTTTATCTTAACTCTGTGCTTTGTTTCATTCTTTTCATGAGATGCACAACCTTTTCATTGCAGTCTATACAAAAGTTCCTCTATAGCTTGACTCCAATTATTTTTTTCTTTGACATTTATCTTTTGAAAGAGTTCTTCCATTTTCAGTAAGATTTTCTTTATTGTTATTTGATTTGATTTCTTTTTACCTAAACTTGTTTCATTAGCCTGAAAGCAATGTGGAGCTTGAGTTTATTATACAAGCTCTTTTACTGCTTACTGAATTTCTTTTTTCCCACCTTGTTAGGAAAAACAAGGGGAGGTCGCATTGGTGGCAAATCTTGCTGAACCTGGCTACACGCTTGAACTGTCATCCCTTGTTCCATCAGTTGGTTTGGTTAGTATGAATATAATTTACATTTAACTAGTTTCTGTTTGAAGCACTAATAAATTGAATATAATAATAAATCTACTTAGGGATGGCAATGGGGCGAGTTCGGTGTGGGTTTTACCAAAACCAAACCCGCCCCGAGTTTTGAAAAAAATTGGTTTTCTTTGCACTTTGTGTGTCTACGATGAAATCCGCCTTGCTCGATCCCGAGTAAATTTGAAAAATATGGTGAGCTGCAAATGATATGAAGCCTGAAGGAAGAAGACGTAGCTGATGAAATGAAGGAAGAATATGCAGATGAAGAATGAAGGAAAAAAATGGAGGCGACTTACCTGTGGACTCTGATGGCTGGTATGTGTCACACTGTCGAGAGGAGGAAGACTGGAAGCGTGAAGAGTCTGGACTTTAGAGACTTGGAGTAGTCTGGTACGTGTTGCGCTGCCGAGACCAGAAGCATCTGAACTTTGGAGAATTGGTATATGTTGCACCACTGAGGGGAGGAAGACTGGAAGTGAAGCGTCCAGAGACTCTGGACTTTGGAGAGCTGGAGCAGATGAGTAGAGTAGACTGGGAGTGTAAAGCCAGGTCGAGTTCGGGTGGGTGTTTCATGCCAAACCCGAACACGCCTGCCCGGGTGAACATATTCAAGAAACCTGCTACGACCCAACTTACCCCGTTTTGGTTTCAACTGGTCACAGATTTTTTTACCATCCCTAAATCTATTACTTGTTTGTTTCTTGTAAATCTTAGCATGTGATGCAGGTGTCAAATATGACAATGCAAATTAAGTAGCCTGTTTGAGTGTCATTTTCTGCACTTTTTATGCCTTCCTTCTTCTGTTATGTATCTATACCAGAACACAATCTTTTATCACCTACTTATATTCCTACCATGGCAGCCAAAAGCAACCCTTAAATTCCCTATTGGGGAAGTTTCACTAGAGGAGAAAGAAGATGAGGAAGAGAAGAAACTATTATCAGTAAATGGAATCGTCAAAGGTCAGGTTTTGAACGGGCTCTGCACTGCACAATACGATGATGAAGAATTGCGCCTAAGATACGCCTATAAGGTTATTTATCTTGGCTATTTCTGATGTGCATTTTTTCTCATCTACTTTTATATTGATTGCCTGTCTTTCTTTTGTCTTCATCATCCATATATCTAGTGTAAAAATGAGACTCATGGATGAATGGGATTGTATTTGTTTAAACTTTCACTTCAGCTTGATTCTTGGAAAATGCTACCTTATTGACACCATGTCAAAAGTAGTGTTAAAGATTTTTTATCTAATGGCAGGATGAGGCTTTGTCTTTCATTCCTAGCATCTCACTTCCTTCCAACACTCTATCATTTGCATTCAAGCGACGTTTCAGTCCTACAGATAAGTTGAGGTGAGAGCTATCTCTCTACGTGCTTTTCTATGCCCTTCTGTTCATGCTCTGTTGTGGCATTTGGCTTAATTGTTTGGGTTTTATGATTTTTTGTATGGTATAGCTATTGGTACAATTTTGATTCCAACTACTGGAGTGCTGTGTACAAACGGACATACGGGAAAGACTTCAAATTCAAAGCTGGTTATGATTCTGAGGTGGGTCTTGGCTGGGCGTCTCTCTGGGTGAGTGCTGCTATTCCTCTTACTTTATTATTTGTTTGTATAAAGGCTCGATCTCGGCTGTTTAGTTATTTACCTTATCTCTTTTATCATCATTCATTTATTTATTAGGTCTTGAACCATAGTTT